TCAGCAGGGGACAAGCGCAGCTATGGAGTCTTTCTTGAAATGCACCCAAAAACAACAGTGAGTGCCACCTAGAGACCAGAGCTCCAGCCGGGAGGCAGCCAAGCTGCACTACAAACAAAAATGTCAGGAGCTGATATACTCCTTGCATGGATGAGGAGTCAAACTGTAGCCAAGGGAGGCTCTGGCTTCTTCAAATAACACCAGATAGGTGTGTTTTCTGCTGCAGCTTCTCCCCAGAAAGGCATCAATTCAATGAAAGAGATTTGACTCCATACTGTTATGCTCTTGTTGGACAAAGAGCACCCCTTGGCTTCGAAATGCTTAGAGCTCTTTGGCTTGGGGAAGGACAGTTTCAAGATGAGGATTTATTTAGGACTAGTGTGCACCTAGCAGCAAGTTTGAGGCAGATACTTGGCCGAGAGAGTTCAGGTCTGCACTAACATATCTCATGTAATCCAAAGGCCAGGCAGCAAATTCACACAAGCCATGAACCCAGCCCAGCACTAGCCAACAGACAGCAATTTGTGATTGAGGGCTAGACCTCCGCATCAGTGAGGGACACCTGGCAAAACCTAACACTTATTTAAATTAAACTTTATTTGTGGAGAACAAATACAACTTCTAGCCATTACTTTTTCACAAGTAAGAGCCAAAGCTCTGCACCACCTTGTTCAGCGCTGCATCCCCTGCCTGACACGTCCTTGGACCTCACAGGGTTTGCTCTGAACTACATAACTGGATCAGATTTGCCACTCTGAGTCCTGCCTAGGGATGTTCCCAAAACCTAAGAGAGCATAGCCAAAGTCTGCCCAGAGGCATTTCTGCAGGTGCACAATGATTAACTGGTGCACATTTCTATATCACAAATTAAAAAGACCTCAGCTTGCTTGAAATGCAGTATATTAACCTCTGAAACTGGCAGCCATGGATACCAGCTTCAAAAAGGTTAATATCCATACGACAGGATCCCAGAGGATAGCATCCCGCTGCTGCCAGATTTTCTGGAGCTCAAAATAAGGTATTTTGAGGCGTTTTTAAGGTAGTAACTTTTCATGCTTATTTTATTAAGGCAACCCAAAGTAGTTCACATTTATAGACAGAATCCAAGAAACTGACGAGGGCGAGGGGGATAAGGTTGCCAAGGAAAGCTGTAGGCATGGATGGAGAGACAGGGAGTACACTGCCATTGTCACAGTTAATTGTCAAGAGTCTGAAAAGGTTTGTTACTAAAATAAATAACAACTCTGTTAGTTCAGGACATTCTGCAGGTCCACTGAGGCCGCACAGTAACAGTGCACACAGTAAATCTCTGGAGCAGGAGATGCAACAGCAGCTTGCATTTGCCAGTCTCACCCTGCACTCACTGCAGGCTGCGTCAGAAAAGCTAATAATCATTACGCTGCCATCTTTTATTTCTAATTATTTGTCTCCACAGCAGGGTTTCTCCAACCATCAAGCAAAAGGGAAGCAAGTCTCAAAGGCCTAACTGTTTTGAAGTGGGCTCACAGCTGCCAGGCATGAATGGCTCTCCAAGAACAGTAGCAACTGCTCTGCACAGCCCGTGGAGCTGAGAGGGAAAGCATCTCTGTTTAGGCTGGTTTTCAACGTCGGTTTTTAGGTCAACTAAAACAGCTTTTCTTATGCAACAGAAAGCTCACTTGCTTTGGAGTTTTTGCTTTCATTTAATTAGATGGTAATTCAGAGGGCAGCGCTGCTATTCTGAACGCCACAATGGGAACTGTTTTCACTGCTTTACAAAGCAACAAAGTGAAAACACTGAGCTAAGCTGGCCCTAGAACTTGACACCACGTAGGAGACTGATGGTCTCCTCTGACAGGGTGGGACAAGTGAAAGAGATACCCTGCTGCCACATTCCCATAGAAATCATGGAATCATTTAGGTCGGAAAAGCCCTTCAGGACCAAAGAGTCTAACCATTAACCCACCAATGTCAAGCCCATCACTAACCCATGCCCCTAAGTCACACATCTACATGGATTTTAAACGGTGACTCCATCACTGCCCTGGGCAGCCTGTGCCAGTGCTTGATGACCTTTTCCATTAAGTTTTTCCCTATTATCCAACTTAAACCTCCCCTGGCACAGCTTGAGGCCATTTCCTCTCATCCAGCCCCTTGTTCCCTGACCTCCCTCCCCAGCTGTCCCCTCCTGTCAGGGAGCTGTGCAGAATCAGAAGGTCCCCCCTGAGCCTCCCTTTCTCGAGGGTGAGCTGCCCCAGCTCCCCCAGTTGCTCCTACTGCTCCAGCCCCTTCTCCAGCTCTGTTCCTTTCCCTGGACACGCTCCAGCCTCTCAATGTCTTACTTGTTGTGAGGGACCCAAAACTGATCCCAAGATTTGAGGTTTGACCAATACAGGGGGACTGCCCTGGTCCTGCTGGCCACACTAATGCACTTACAGGCCACATGTCATTTGGCTTCTTGCCTACCCAGGATCATGTTCAGGCACTGTCAACCAACAGGAGAGGTTAAAGAAGAAAATCTCACTAAAAGGTGCTGAAAACCTCATTTGTTCTTCCTCTTTGGGTTATGTGTAAACAAGGACTAAGGGGAGACCAAAATTCCCAACACAACAAGCTGTTCAAGGGCTCCGCAAAGCAGTGCCCTTCCCCAGGTCACCTGTGAATCCTGGGATAGAAAGAAACAACATATATTGATAAAGATAATAGCACATGGCTTCCAGCATCACAAGTGCCACCGTATGGAAACACAGATCCCAAACGCAGCCCACGAACTCCGCGCTTACCGACACAGACACAGCCCTAAACAATTTTTCAGCAATGACCTCACCTTGGATTTCTTGACAGGCTTTAAATAATGGCAACATATGTGAATATCACCTAGAAGGTCAAGAGCAAAACCCTCAACAGAGGCTCCTCTTGCATTTTCAGCATTTTTCCCTTACAGTTTCTGTCCCACAGCTGCTCCCAGCTTCCCTCCATGGAAGCTGCTGGTGTGTTCGTTTCAGGACTGATGCCCAACACTTACCAGGTTAGGAGAAGAGATTATCTTACTAAAACTCCTATGCATTTTATGTTTACATAGGAGATAAGCTACGGTTAAAAATGGAGATGCAATCCGAGCCTGCTGTTTTCTGTGCTGGGAGAGGGTCAGGGCTGTCCCTGAGCCAGTGAAATTGTACCACACCCCCTTTATCTTTGCTATCCCTAACAAAGTACCCCATGGCTTTCCTGTTTGCTGACAAAGACTGACACCAATTATTCAGCAAGCAGCAAGTTTCATGTCATATCAGGATCAAAACCTCCAAAGCCTGTAACAAGCAGGATCACCAAAATAAAGTTATCTTCCCTCTGTTCAATACATAGAAGCAAACAGGAAAAAGTAACATGGAGACTGCTCTGGGGAGAGCAAACCAGGGATTGTCCAGGTTATCAGTGTTTCCCAAGGGAAAAAATCACCCTTGAGGAGAGACTTGTCATAAAGAGCCAGATAGGTGACTGTCCTGAGGATCTGCTCAAGCACTGAGCAGGAAGACTCTGGTGAAAGACCTGCTCCAGGCTACCCTGGCACAGCTGCAGCTGCTGTGCTGGTACAGCTTTGCCTCTCACTAACCCATTCCAACCATCATGCAAGTGAGCACTTGCACACTGCTCCACATCCAAACTCACAGGAGCTTCCTGCTGTACCTTCCACATGGAGGAGTTTTATTCTGCATTCAAATGGCTGCTGGGTATTTGGTGGGGCTGGAGCTCAGCACCTCTGACCAAGGCAGGTTTTATAGTTAATTAATGATCCTGCTTTTGGAGATTTGGTAGCAAAGCTCATTCAGATCAGGAGGCAGCTGCTCATCTTCCAAATATAGTACTCATTTAGGAGTAAGAACAACAGGTTTATGCTTGGATTTGATTCATCTCTCCTGCCCCGCCATGAGGCATTGTATAATTATGTCAAGTTTAAGAGTAAAGCAATCTGTTCCCATCACCTTCCTCTGCTTTCCCTTCAAGTCTTTCATCAATGACTGGCAGCACATGGAATACTCAGGTGTGGAGAAGAGCTGCTTTAAATGTGCTCAGCCCTTTCCCTTTCTGGGAGAGGAGAGGGTGCTACTAGGGAAGGGGAGTGATGGAGAGGAGAAGGGAAAGCTTAGCAGGAGGATAGCTTGATTTAAAAAAAGAAAAAAAAAAGTAAATTTAAACTTACTAAAGTTTCCAGAGAACACAACCTCAATGCAAAGGCTCCACTGCATCCAGAGAAACAGCTTCACCAAGCAGATCCCTTCCTTCCCTCCACCCTAAGAGCACACCTTGTCCTCAGAGGCTTTAATATACAAACACCACCTCACAGCCAAGCTCATGGCACACACCAAGCCTCTGCAGGGAAACATCAGAATCCACCCCATCAGGGCAATTTTTCCCCCACGCAAAGCAGGCTCTCCATGAACACAAATTTAAAACATCGGTGCCTGATGCTCTTCTCCAAGCCCAACACGCATTTCCTCTCCTCTCCTGCCAGAACAGCCTCAGGCTCCTCTCCGTGCCCTGCAAAGCCCCAACACCCACGGTTTGCAAAGGGCAAGGTGGCCCAGTGCCATCAGAGAGCCCCTTGCACAACCACAGCACTGACTTGCCACCAACAGATGTCAGGAGACGTCCTGGGGAGAACAAGAAGAATAGTTTTCCATTCACAAAAATATTTTCCTTTCCATTTGCTCACTTGCTAGCACTTGAGTGTGTTTTTATCCCCAGGTCAGTGCTCCACAGCCTAGGCTGGTAGGAAAAACTTCTACTGGAGGCTTCTTCATATTATAAAACACAGCAATTTCCAGGCCAACTAACTGCTTTTCAATATCCAAAATCATCACACACACACACACAATGAATCATGCTGTTTGACAACAACCAATGCTCCAGAATTTAAGACAGAATAAACAGGCCACTTCATTATTTAAATAGGTCCGATCATTAAGTCAGAGCAACTTGTTTCAACCATTTCCACCCACTGATGTAACAAAGCAGGTACTTACCCAGAGATGAGACCGCCAGCCCAGCCACACAGGTGAGACACCAAAATCCATCGTGGGGCAGTAGATAGAAGAGAAAGAAGAGACACTGGTTAAAAAGCAGTTCCAGATAGACAGGAAAACCCAGGCACCCACCAGAAAAACCCCTCGAGCCCCAAAGCCGAGTGCTCACACTTGTGCCCAAGTGAACAAGGCAACAGAGCCTTGTCAGTATCTGACTCCTCCAGAAGCGAAGGTGGAACCGGACGTTCACGGTCAGCCACTTCTCAGAAATGTAAACACCAAGTGGGGAAGGAGAAAAAAACAACCAAAAACATCAGCTCGGCATTATCTAACGCTGATAATAGAGTGAGCAGTGAGGCAGACACCGCCAGCCTGCCAGCTCCGGTGCCAGGGCACAGCCGGGGCTGCAGGAGCCGCTGCGGGCTGGCCCCTGCAGCTCTGCGCCCATCCAGCTCCTCCGCACTCCCACAACTGCTCCTGCGAACTTCTGCAGGGCCGGACACAGCCCAGCGCCGCCGGGCCCGGCTCCACAGGGCTCCTACTGAGCCCTCTAGCGGGCTTCAAAAACTCCACAAAACACCAAGAGCCTTAATTTAATTAACACTCGGCCAGAGGCCTCTAAACCCTAATCCTCTCAACAAAAGGATCATTAACTAAATGAAGAGATTCAAGAGAGCAACGGTGCTCCCAGCCGCGGCAAGGCTGGCTGTGTGCTCCGCTGGGCACACACCCCAAATTCAGCCCATACAACAGCCCCACTGAGGCTACAGGGACCAGTCAAGCACTCACAGCACAAGTGGGGCGTGATGCCAGACTAAACCGTCACCCTGCCAGGCCAGAGAATCACAGAATCACGGAATGGTTTGTGTTGGAAGGGACCTTAAAGCCCATCTCATTCCAACCCACTGCCACAGGCAGGGACACCTTCCACTAGACCAGGTGGAGAGATGGGCACAAGCCCATACCCATCCTTTGGGATGCACCTTGATGCCAACAATCCCAGTGCCATCATCTCCATCAGGACTGAAAACACAAACTACTGAACCAGGAGAGGAGCTGGAGCACCATTTGGTTTTTTTAAGTGTTATTATCCAGCCTGGATGCAAGCAGAGACCAGCTCTCCTTTCAAGCAGCAGCCTCAGTCCCTCAGCAGAAGGCTGGGAAAACACCTCCACCCTGCCAGCATGAACAGCACGAAGGGCTCTCCTTACCAAGGAGTTAGGGTGGACCTTGGCAGAATTCACAGCACACAGGGTGCAGTCATAAAAAAGCCTTCACAGTCAAAGGTTCCCGGCCCACATACCTCACCCCAACGTGACAGGGATCGAGATCTTGTTCTTTGCCGGTGGCTCTCTTGCAAAGTCACCTCCAGCTTCAGAGCCACACAGAGGATGCAGAGCAGCTGTGAGGAGCACATCCGTTAGACAGCTCATTAGTGTGGTGAACAGGAACAGCTGAGCTTAATTACAGGGCAGGAATCACTCCCTCTGGGTTTGGATACCATCAGCAGGGCCACGCTGCCCCACAGGACAGGCATCCCTCAAAAGTGCCCATAGCTAATGTCACCTCTGCCCATGTGGAATGGGATCCCAGCTGGGGCTGTAATGGTCTGCAGAGCCTCGGGCTCCAAATGTGAGAAAACAAAATGAGGAAGAATTCAGATGCTGCTTGCAGAAAAATCTTCTCTGCCAGCAGCAGCCTGCACAGGTCTGGAGATGCTAGTGCAGCTCACCTATAGGCACTGGTCCCCTAATTTTGGTGCTGTGTGTGAGCACCCCAGTCTCCAAAGCAGCTTTTGAGGCTCAAATTGAGCAATTCACCAGGACAGAGACAGCAGTGGTTGCTGGTGGGGTACACCCCAGAGGCTGCCACAGCCTGGGCAGGGTTTTTGGGATGGCCAGGAGATGCTTTAGTGTACTATCTCTCCTCAGACCAACACAGCCTTCCCTGGAACCTCAGCCCTCTAGGATGCCAGCCAAACTGATCACAGACCCTTCATGTTTGGGACTGAATGCTGGACAGCATTTGTAGAAGTTTCCATTTTCAGTCTTTGCCCCTGTCTCCTCCCTGCATCTCCTCAGGATGTGCCTTCAGGATAGAGAGACACGTCAATGCCTCCTTTCCCAAAGATGCAGCAACAACTGCTCCCAGAACTAATGAGTCTGTCCTGCTCTGACCCAGGGCAGTTTTCAGCGTACACAGAATAAGCAGTCTTCTCTATGTTCACCTCCTGGGAAAATCCGAAGAGCTCCCATCTCCCCAGCCTGGGAAAGAACACAGATGGTCACGGAGATTAACGCATACAGAGAATTAACCACCCTATGCAAATGAGCTTCAAGCCAGCGCTGCCAGGTGGTTCGAGGTCCAGCACTTGGATGTGATCATCATGGCTTGCTGAGCTCTGGTAACAGCCTGGTATTGACCAGGACAGGGGCCAGGAACCTGAGCAGGATGAAGACAGTTTATAGGGAAGGCAGAATGCAAACTGCTGGAACCAGGCAGCTGCCGAAATCACATTCACCTCATGCTACAGCCAAAGAAAAAGCAGCAGTGCCAGAAACAACCCTGGTCAGCAGCAGCACAGATTAATTCTGAACTTGCGTATCTCGTATGTTCCCACTCAAAGGTAGTTCAGATGGAGCAAGCAGTGCTGCAACTACAACATGAGCCATCTGTGGCTCTGCATGCTGCTCACACAGCACCAGGCACCAGGCACCCACAGGATGGCAGAAGAAAAACCATAGCGGCTCCTGCTGCCTTTCCTAGAAGGCTGAAATCTTGGCACCCAGCTGAGGCACGGGATCTGTCAGCACAGCACACTGAGATGGACCACATAACCTTCCCAAGAAAGACAGGGTTTCTCCAGGATACCTCCTAGGGAGGAGCTGCACCTCAAACCCACCAGTAATTGGTTTAAGTCTTATTTCATCTTTCCTCAAAACCATTTTACTTTCCTTTAACACTTAAAAAAATTCCAACAGACATGGACATCTTGCTCAGCCAGTGCCCAGCTGGCAGTGGATCATTAGGGCCAAGTTTCAGGCCATGCCATGATGCAGATGACTGCGTTTGCTATTAAAAGCCTCCGCTCTGCACCCGAGGAAATTCTCAAGCAGTGCTGACCCTGTCTGCCAGCCTGTGAGCTCTGAGCAGCCACAGATCGGCAGAGACCAATCCCGGCCACATGGGAGAGGTTCACCTCCACGTCAGACACGGCACCTCCAGCACAACATCAACACAGACGCACAAAGTCACGTTACAGCTCAACGTGGCTCTGTGCCGGGCTGTCATCTTAACATCTGCCCTCCCTTGCTCCCACACTCAGTGTTTGAGTTCACCTGGGGGCAGAGAGGCAACTTGTGCTGTCCTGTCCAATACATACCCTCAGCACAGACAAAGAAGTGCCCGCAAGAAGCTTACCCCATCTCCAAGGGGTTTTGGAGAGTGGATACAGAAATACAAGCCTCTGGATGGCTGGCACTATCCAGTGAGCACCTAAATCACTGCAGCAGCCAGAGGGATCAGGTCATGGAGGTCACTACACAGCTGCCTTAACACCCTGGTGATGCTTTGAGGCATCAGTCCACCCCACTCCCCACAACAAAGCCAAGATCAGTGCCAACACTGAGTTTTCCAGGCCCTAAGGCTCAGAGCTGCCCCATAGCTGCCCTTCACTGCCTTGTTTGCAACAACTACCAGATTGCTGTAATGCCACTGCAGTCAACTCTGAAAGCTCCCAGTACAAGCCAAGCCTCACATCCCCTCCTTAAATCCAGTCCTGGTCAACTGTGGCCAGATGTAATTATCTACATGAAAGGCGCTCAAAGCCACCCCTAATAAGAGAATGTATCCAGGCTGGGGTTCCTCCTCCTCTGCTGCTTTCCAGGGCTCAAAAACTTGCCTCACATGAAGTGGACCAGCAAGAACTTCACCTCAGTCCTTGTTACAAAACCTGCCTTTCCCAGGAACGGAAGGAAAAGTCAGGTTTCTCAGTCACCTATTCACAAACAAGCAGAGAACATTTTAACAGGATTTGTTCATTTAATTGAATAGCACACAGGGGCTTTATTTGTGTTGGCAAAGGGCTTTGGGGTGAGCAAATGGAGGAGCAAAGGCAGGCCCCATGCCCCAGAACACTTCTCAGGAGCCATGAAACATGTCCAGGTCAAGCCCACAGCCTTACACAGGCCAGGATGGGCCTGGGGTGGCTCCCACAGCCTCAGCATCCTCCCACAGGGGTTCCCAGATGCCCCAAATCACCCCCCAGGAAGTCACCACCAGGGTTGACACAGCACAGTAAGACACCCCAAGTTCACATCAAGCCTCTTCTCCTAAAATCTGCCAATGAGCAGCAGTTTTGGAGCCTTCCTGGAGCCTCAGGGTCCAACTTGAGGGGGTTGAGACAGCAAAAAGCTGTTCCGACATGCCATTTGTGACCTCCCACAGACTCCAAATCAGGAGCCCAGACAGTGGCTGTGTTAGCCCTGCCCACGGTGCCCCATCCCCATCTGGTAGTCCAGGATTTTCTCAGGGGGCATCAGGAGGGGACTAGACACCAACCATACTAATTGGATAGACAGAGTCCTGCATCCCTACAAAGCTGCAAGCAGCTGCTCAGAACCTCTTGTGATCCACAAAAATAGTTTCATCTACAGAGCATGTATTAAACACCACAAACACCCTTTTCTTCCCTCTGTGCAAAGTGCATTTTCCCCTCACTGCAGTCCCAAAACAAAATCCAGCCCTGCAGATCAAACCAAGAAATGTAGCAAACTTTGAGCATGAACAATAGCAGGAGGATTTTCCAGACCTTCAAGCTTGTTTGGCAAGTCTCAGATTATGTAAAGCACTGCCATTGTTAGGGAAGCCATGCCCTATGCCGGAGCCAGCTGGCACCACACACCCCACCCAGCACTGCCTGCAACGGCAGTGGGGCTTGTGCAACACCACAAACTCCTTCCCAGGCACTTCCACTGCAGCAGTCGCTGCCTTTCATTTTACACCTCACTCTTTTGTGATTAATCATCTCCCCAGGGTCCGGGTTTTCCAGCCCATCCTGCCCAGGTGTTTGATGGCCTGGATGAAGTCTCCTTTGTGTCCACAGGGTGGCTTTACTACAGCTGTGCCCAGATGTGAAGGATCCCCTTCCATGGTTTAACTAAT